AGTGTTGTGAATGGATGAGTTAATACTGATGGATCTTTACTCAGCAGCCTCTACCATCAGTGTGTGAATGTGTATGAATGGATGAGTTAATACTGATGGACTCTTTACTCAGCAGCCTCTACCATCAGTGTGTGAATGGATGAGTTAATACTGATGGACTCTTTACTCAGCAGCCTCTACCATCAGTGTGTGAATGTGTATGAATGGATGAGTTAATACTGATGGACTCTACTCAGCAGCCTCTACCATCAGTGTGTGAATGGATGAGTTAATACTGATGGACTCTTTACTCAGCCGCCTCTACCATCAGTGTGTGAATGGATGAGTTAATACTGATGGACTCTTTACTCAGCAGCCTCTACCATCAGTGTTGTGAATGTAGAATGGATGAGTTAATACTGAAGGACTCTACTCAGCAGCCTCTACCATCAGTGTGTGAATGTGTATGAATGGATGAGTTAATACTGAAGGACTCTACTCAGCGGCCTCTACCATCAGTGTGTGAATGTGTATGAATGGATGAGTTAATACTGAAGGACTCTACTCAGCGGCCTCTACCATCAGTGTGTGAATGTGTATGAATGGATGAGTTAATACTGAAGGACTCTACTCAGCGGCCTCTACCATCAGTGTGTGAATGGATGAGTTAATACTGAAGGACTCTACTCAGCGGCCTCTACCATCAGTGTGTGAATGTGTATGAATGGATGAGTTAATACTGAGGACTCTACTCAGCGGCCTCTACCATCAGTGTGTGAATGTGATGATGATAATACTGAAGGACTCTACTCAGCGGCCTCTACCATCAGTGTGTGAATGTGTATGAATGGATGAGTTAATACTGAAGGACTCTACTCAGCGGCCTCTACCATCAGGGTGTGTTTGTGTTCACAGGAAGCAGTCATCCATGTGGTTACTAGGCGACAGCCAGCGGTCCCAAAAGGCCAAGCTGGAGGAGAGGGTGGTGCCTCAACTCATCACCAACATGGACCAGCTGAGCTTAAACTCCACCCACAATTCTACAAACTCCTCCTACAATAGCGCCATGAGCTCCGACCGTCTGACAGAGGTCTCTACACGTACACACACTTGCTCGCTCTACTAATCAGCTGTAAGTATAATGTGTGTAAGTTTAATGTGTGTGTGGTCTCCTGCAGAGTGAGACAGGTGACAGTGGACTTGGTCTGACTCAGGGAGACAAACTTAGAGCCCTAAAGAGCAGACGACCCCCCCGCCCCGCCACCACCGGAGCCCTCAGGTACACCACCCAAACCTTTACCATGCCCGTACAACACACCTGTGATTGAGCTGCTGCAGGTGTGATGATGGTGGTGTTTTTTTCTTTCAGGGTGGAGGAGATGAAGATGCACAGCAGATCGGCCTCACAGCCGCTCAGGTAACGCTCACCTCTGAACCAATCAGCTGCTGAAATAATCCATACAGATATATCATTATTAATGTAAACATTGATTTATTGTCATTTGTCTCGTCATGTTCAGAATGTCGTTGGGTGCCGGGCAGAGTCCCTCCTCTCCCCTCAAGTCCTCCAAGTTCCCAGCATCCTCTGCTTCTGCTGCTGCCAAGAGGATTGGACGAAGTCCTTCATCATCAGTGTCAAACATCAGGAGGTCAGTGTCACCCTCTACCTGTTTCTCTCCCTCTCTCTCTCTCTCACCCTCTCTCTGTCTCTCTCTCCCTCTCTCTCTCTCTCACCCTCTCTCTGTCTCTCTCTCTCTCTCTCTCTCTCACCCTCTCTCTGTCTCTCTCTGTCTCTCTCTCTCTCACCCTCTCTCTGTCTCTCTCTCTCTCTCTCTCTCTCACCCTCTCTCTCACCCTCTCTCTGTCTCTCTCTCTCTCTCTCTCTCTCACCCTCTCTCTCACCCTCTCTCTGTCTCTCTCTCACCCTCTACTGTCTCTCTCTGTCTCTCTCTCTCTCTCACCCTCTCTCTGTCTCTCTCTCTCTCTCTCTCTCTCACCCTCTCTCTGTCTCTCTCTCTCTCTCTCTCTCTCACCCTCTCTCTGTCTCTCTCTCTCTCTCTCTCTCACCCTCTCTCTCACCCTCTCTCTGTCTCTCTCTCTCTCTCTCTCTCTCACCCTCTCTCTCACCCTCTCTCTGTCTCTCTCTCTCTCTCTCTCTCTCACCCTCTACCTGTCTCTCTCTCTCTCTCTCTCTCTCACCCTCTCTCTGTCTCTCTCTCTGTCTCTCTCTCTCTCACCCTCTCTCTGTCTCTCTCTCTCTCTCTCTCTCTCACCCTCTCTCTGTCTCTCTCTCTCTCTCTCTCCACCCTCTCTCTGTCTCTCTCTCTGTCTCTCTCTCTCTCACCCTCTCTCTGTCTCTCTCTCTCTCTCTCTCTCTCACCCTCTCTCTGTCTCTCTCTCTCTCTCTCACCCTCTCTCTGTCTCTCTCTCTGTCTCTCTCTCTCTCACCCTCTCTCTGTCTCTCTCTCTCTCTCTCTCTCTCACCCTCTCTCTCACCCTCTCTCTGTCTCTCTCTCTCTCTCTCTCTCTCTCTCACCCTCTACCTGTCTCTCTCTGTCTCTCTCTCTCTCTCACCCTCTCTCTCTCTCTCACCCTCTCTCTCTCTCTCTCACCCTCTCTCTGTCTCTCTCTCTCTCTCTCTCTCTCTCTCTCACCCTCTCTCTGTCTCTCTCTCTCTCTCTCTCTCTCTCACCCTCTACCTGTCTCTCTCTGTCTCTCTCTCTCTCTCACCCTCTCTCTGTCTCTCTCTCTCTCTCTCTCTCTCTCTCTCACCCTCTCTCTCTCTCTCTCACCCTCTCTCTCTCTCTCTCACCCTCTCTCTCTGTCTCTCTCTCACACCCTCTCTCTCTCTCTCTCTCTCTCTCTCTCTCTCTCTCTCTCTCTCCCCTGCAGCTCTCGGTTGGCGGTGTCTCTCAGTGATCTTTACTCTGCAGACTTGGAGGAGGATGGCTCTCCTTACTCTCCTCTTCCTCCCTCCTCCTCTTCCTCTTCTATCTCCTCTGTGTCTGTCAGCTCCTTCCCTTCCCCTCTGGCTCCGCCCCCTCCGTGTCGCTATGGAAATGGTCCTCGAGGCCTGCAACAGGAGGTCAACAATAACAACGGGGTGTACGGGGGCTCTGCGGCACCACCTGCAGGAAAAAACTTGGGTGTGATCCTGAGCAGGGCGGGGCCTCAGGACTTCAGCCCGTACAGGGGCTCCTACAGCGCTCTGCAGGGGCCGTCAGGACGCTACCTGAGCCGCTCCATACCTGTAAGTCCTCTGACACAGCAGCAGCTTAGCCCCGCCCCTTCTTTTCTGACAACATTAACACACCATCAGCACACCTGAGTGTTGCCATGACGATGTGACATCATCAGCGGCAGCACTCAGAGGGTCCTATCAGAAGGTTAAACACTCAGTCTCAGCCAATCAGAGCCTGAGACTCTCTACAGCTGTTCACTCTCACTTTACTCTCAAACAGAGGTCACATGACCAGGTGTCTCTAGACACAGTGCAGTGGGTCTGTTGTGGTTGTCATGGAGACACCTGGTCATCGTGTGTGTGTGTGTGTGTGTGTGTGTGTGTATTAACAGGTGGTGTGTGGGGTTTCTCTCACACTAACAGGAAGTTGCTGCTGATTGGAGGAACTGTTGAACACAGTCAATCAGCATGTTCAACACCATTATGAACTCTGTATGTAGTTCTTTAAAGGGGGTGGGGCCTGTTTGGCAGGAGTCAGGGGGCGGAACCATGGGGGAGGAGCTAGAGACTTCAACAGAGCCGAGCTTCCTGTGTTTTTAATCAGCTGACTCATGAACCCTACATGGTCGTCATGGTTACAGCTGATTTCTAGAGCTAGAGGACTCGCCATTCTTTGAATCAGCTGTCAGGTTCACAGCGTCAAACATGTTTATGACCATACGATGACATCATCTACAGGAGCCAATCACTGAGCTTGACTAAAGAAAACGGGCGTCAAACAACTTCTCGCAGTTTTGATAAAACCTCTGGATGTGAGGTACAAACTGAACTTTGACTCCAAAACTGAGGCCAGGCTGAACTTTGACCTCTGTGTGTGGTATTATTGTGGCCTACATCATTTGTTTTATTTACTTCTCTTTTCTCTTTTTTTGGTTTTCAGTCTCTTCAGTCTGAATACATCCAGTACTAAAACTACAGCCCTGACCTGAGGACTCATTACCCACAATGCCCCTGTGAGGGGGTCTCAAAGGGAAGCAGCAGCCTGCAGCTGAGTGACTGAAGAGACTGAGCTGGAAACAGCTGCTGCCTGTGTGTACTGTATGCTAACGGCTACATGCTAACGTTTGTAAATGTGATGGTCGTGTGTTCGGCTGAAACAGAAAATATATTTAGATAAAGATCACAGATTTTATATTTCTAATATGTGACAGAAGAAAACATATTTTTGTTTTGAAGATTTTTGATAAAAAGAAGGATAAGCTGATGTGTGTGTGTGTGTGTGTGTGTGTGTGTGTGTGTGTGTGTGTGTGTGTGTGTGTGTGTGTGTGTGTGTGTGTGTGTGTGTGTGTGTGTGTGTGTGTGTGTGTGTGTGTGTGTGTGTGTGTGTGTGTGTGTGTGTGTGTGTGTGTGTGTGTGTGTGTGTCAGGAGGACATGAAGGTTTTTAGATGATCTGTATCAGAAGCTTTTTGTATAATGACATGAATCTGTTTGACCTCTGACCTTCTCTACGTCTCGTCTCACATTAATAGACTTGACTCGTTAGCGCCCTCTGAAGGCCGAATGTAAACAGAACAGCTGATTGTGAAACAGTAGTCTGAAGGAATCGTATTAATTATGTTCACTTCTAAATGTTTTTAGTTTTTTCGGAGTTTGAAAACAGCCTGAAAGGAGGAGTCAGTAGAAATGTTTGTAAACATTAAAACTGGCCCCTCCTCCTGAGCTCATCACCCCAGACTCTCACACTCACTGCAGGATGTAGTGTGTACGTTTTCTGCTTGTACCTACACTGCAAGCTAACGCACACTAGCACAAGCTATCTGCCGGTGTTTGTCACCTTCCTGTCCAACAGGAAGTAGATCAACGCCACGTCCAACACAAGGTTCACCCTCATTTTAGAACGAGCTTTATCCACTTGGTGTTTCTCCTCACTCTCATTATATTTTCTCTTCTTTGCTGCTACATCTGAACCTGTTGTTGATGACATGACAACAGCAGAGTGTCTGAATGCTGATTGGCTGAAGGTCAGCTGACCAGAGCGCTCTGATTGACTAAAGCAATAATGAAGGTTGATTTTAAATATTTTAATGTCCCAATGAAAACTATCAGACTGATCGATTCATTCCTGAGTTTCTTTCTCATTTGATGATGTCATCATTTTTTTTGTCTCTGGTTAAAATGTTAGATTCAGATAAAACACCTGAGAGCATCACATGTGAATACAACAAAGGGCTTTTCAAAATAAAAGCTCAGGTGAGAGACCGCTGTAAAGTTTCTGTTTGAGTCCCTTCCTCAGGCTGAAGTCACTGAAGTGCCTTTTAATGTGGAGGGTTATTTCCTGCCTACATGTAACACAGTAGCAAAGGGCTTTTATTTTGAAAGTAACCCCATTTATGTCTGTTTTCTTTTTTTTACGTGCTCCTGAAGTCCTTCATGATGACAAATGTTATAAAATAACACAATAAGACCTTTCTGAGTCTTTGATTGTCCTCAAAATAAAATCAGGATTCTTCTCAAACTGTTTCCTGTTTTTTTTCTCCCTTTTACATACATGAGGACAGGTAACCCTCGGGAAGTGAACACCTGGACTTTTTTGGGGATATACTGACACTGCACAACACCTCACTGGAAATATTGGAATTGTTGGGGGGGAAAAAAAATTATTACCTAAAAGTAAAAATAATCTGTAGCAACAATTAAATGATTTCACAGTTTCAACACAGACTCCTGTCGAAGGAAAGCTCCAAATCTATAGAAGCAGAACTAGGAGGTGGTCCAAGACTGGGCGAGCCATAGGTACCACGAAGGCTGTACCTCCCATAGTACATTTAGAGACTGTACCACGAGCAGGCCTGATAACCGAAGGCTCTACCTCCCATAGTACATTTAGAGACTGTACCACGAGCAGGCCTGATAACTGAAGGCTCTACCTCCCATAGTACATTTAGAGACTGTAGGTACCACGAGCAGGTCTGATAACTGAAGGCTCTACCTCCCATAGTACATTTAGAGACTGTAGGTACCACGAGCAGGTCTGATAACTGAAGGCTCTACCTCCCATAGTACATTTAGAGACTGTAGGTACCACGAGCAGGCCTGATAACTGAAGGCTCTACCTCCCATAGTACATTTAGAGACTGTAGGTACCACGAGCAGGTCTGATAACTGAAGGCTCTACCTCCCATAGTACATTTAGAGACTGTACCACGAGCAGGTCTGATAACCGAAGGCTCTACCTCCCATAGTACATTTAGAGACCGTAGGTACCACGAGCAGGTCTGATAACTGAAGGCTCTACCTCCCATAGTACATTTAGAGACTGTACCACGAGCAGGTCTGATAACTGAAGGCTCTACCTCCCATAGTACATTTAGAGACTGTACCATGAGCAGGTCTGATAACTGAAGGCTCTACCTCCCATAGTACATTTAGAGACTGTACCACGAGCAGGCCTGATAACTGAAGGCTCTACCTCCCATAGTACATTTAGAGACTGTAGGTACCATGAGCAGGTCTGATAACTGAAGGCTCTACCTCCCATAGTACATTTAGAGACTGTAGGTACCACGAGCAGTCTGATAACTGAAGGCTCTACCTCCCATAGTACATTTAGAGACTGTACCATGAGCAGGTCTGATAACTGAAGGCTCTACCTCCCATAGTACATTTAGAGACTGTACCACGAGCAGGCCTGATAACTGAAGGCTCTACCTCCCATAGTACATTTAGAGACTGTACCACGAGCAGGCCTGATAACTGAAGGCTCTACCTCCCATAGTACATTTAGAGACTGTAGGTACCACGAGCAGGTCTGATAACTGAAGGCTCTACCTCCCATAGTACATTTAGAGACTGTAGGTACTAGGGGTGCAGAAATGCAAAATTTTCTCTAATGGATTACTCTTCCCATTGTTAAAGCGAGTACTCGAGTAATCGTTTTGTAGTTCTTTTTTTTTCTGTGATTCTTTTCCCCCACGGGAGGCCCCACCCCCAACTATGATGCGATGCCGACTGTCTCTATTGATTAATTTGAATCTTCGGAATTTTAATAATTGTTAGTAAGATGCCTTTGTATTAACATTCAAATATGACATTTCTTATTTCAACAGACAGCAAACCTCAAATAAACCTTCACACAGACGTGTTATGACCGTTTTAACACTTTATTATAATTAGAGCAGTGAGTGTGGCGAGCGGACGTGCAGACATCAATGCACTCATCGCACATTGAAGCTGTTATGACAGCAACATTGTGTTAACAAAGACTCCAGTCTGCAGTGTAGAGCACACTTTACTCTGGTAAATGAAGTTACAACAGAACAGGTGAATGATATAAGTGTCTGTCTGTTTCATCTTTCTCTGTGCGTAATGAAACACTCACTAAATCTCGCTCGTCCGTGCGCTATGAGCTATTTCTCCCTATGAGGTCGTTCCATTTTGTAGTTATTAAAAGAATAATCATCTAAAATTCCAAAATATAGGAAAACATCTAGTTTTGCTGCTCTGTCCTGGATGATCAAACGTCATTGGTTTAGCAGAGTAAAGCGATAATCGCAAAGTGAAAGTCCTTCTCTTTCTGTGGACTAAAAAGACAATTTGAACTGAACTCTCGTAGATCATTTTGCATATTTCGTTTGTTTGGGACTTTTTGTTCATTGTGAATTCATAGGGGGTTAATTAAAGGGATATTTTTGTTAGGGTAGCAGCGTATGGATCAACAACAGACAGGGTTAGGGTTAGCACAGAGCCTTTATCAGCGCTTTGTTTGTCATCTATTTTCTTTTTGCGCTCGTGCGCCTTTTTTTCTGTTTTGAATTAGGCCTATAGAACCCACAATGCAACAAGAAACATTCACAAAAATGTGGACTACAAAACGATTATCGATTAAAACATTTTTGTAACCGATTATTATTTCATGAACGAGGACTCGGGTCTCCGAGTACTCGTTTCCACCCCTAGTAGGTACCACGAGCAGGCCTGATAACTGAAGGCTCTACCTCCCATAGTACATTTAGAGACTGTACCACGAGCAGGCCTGATAACTGAAGGCTCTACCTCCCATAGTACATTTAGAGACTGTAGGTACCACGAGCAGGCCTGATAACTGAAGGCTCTACCTCCCATAGTACATTTAGAGACTGTACCATGAGCAGGCCTGATAACTGAAGGCTCTACCTCCCATAGTACATTTAGAGACTGTAGGTACCACGAGCAGGCCTGATAACTGAAGGCCTGTATTATGGGAGCGTAATGTTCTTGAAGGGTAGTACGGCACTATAAGCTCTTTAAGATAAAATGGTGCCTTACCATTTAGAGCTTTGTAATTGAGAAGAAGGATTTTAAATTCTATTCTAGATTTTATAGGGAGCCAGTGAAGCTAATACGGGAGTCATTTGATCTCTTGTTCTAGTTCTCGT